AAGACCCAGAACTGGCCCCAAAAAAAGCATAATTAATTCAAACTGACAAGTTACAGAGAGAATGGGTTCATGACACACCATCCTTTGACATGAAAACTTGTCTTCTGAATCATATAAGGAAGATTTAAGAGGGCTGGGAAGGTGGCTCAGTGGTAGAGCGCTTGCCTTGCATGCCTGAGGCCCTGGGTTCGATTCCTCAGCACCACATAAGCAAAAAGAAAAAAGCTGGAAGTGGCGCTGTAGCTCAAGTGGTAGAGTGCTCGCTTTGAGCTGAAGAGCTGAGGGACAGCGCTCAGGCCCAGAGTTCAAGCCCCACAACCGACAAAAAATTAAAAACAAAAACAAAAAGCAATAGTGCGAGGAAGTGGAGCTGGGCTCAAGTGGTAGAGTGTGAGCCTTGAGCACAAAGAGACTCAAGGACAGTTCCCAGGCCCAGTTCAAGCCCCAGGAATGCAGGGAGGTGGGGATGGGGAGAGACTGACCTTTGGACTGGGAATGTGGCTTAGCAGTAGAGTGCTTGCCTAGCATGAGTGAATTCCTGTGTTCCATTCCTCAGCACCACATAAACAGAAAAAGCCAGAAACGGCGCTGTGGTTCAAGTGGTAAAGTGCTAGCTTTGAGCACAGAGAGGTTCAGAGACAGTACCCAGGCCCTGAGTTAAAGCCCCATAACCAGCCAAAAAAAGGTGTGGTGCATTTGTATATGTGTGTTTTAGAGGGGTTTTGGCTGTACTGGCCATTGAACTTGGCCTCTTTTATTAGCTATGCCCCCCACAATTTGAGCCATGCCCCAACCCTGTTTTTGTATTCAGTGAAACCTTAACAAAACAAAACAGAAAAGTCCAGTTAACCACCAAAAAGCTGTAGCTCAAGTGATAGAGTACTGTCACTCAGGGGCTGAGAAACTCAGGGGCTGCGTGCCAGTGGCTCACGCCAGTAATCCTACCTATTCAGGAGGCTGAGATCTGAGGACTGCGGTTCAAAGCCAGCCCGGGCAGGAAAGTCAGTGAGACTCTTATCTCTAATAAACCACCAGAAAACCAGAAGTGGTGCTGTGGCTCAAGTGGTAGAGCTCTAGCCTTGAACTGAAGAGGGACAATGCCCAAGCCCAGAATTCAAGCCCCACAACTGACCCCAAAAAAGTAAGAAAGTAAGCAAGCCCAATGACAGTGGCCAGACCCTGAGTTTAAGCCCCCAGAGATGGCATCAACCTGTAATCCTAGCTATTCAGGAGGCTGAGATTCAAGAATCTCAATTCAAAGCTAGCCTGGGCAGGAAAGTCTATGAGAATCTTATCTCCAATTAATCACAGAAAAAGCTAGAAATGGTGTTGTGGTGCAAGTGGTAGACTGCCATCCTTGAGCAAAAGAAGCCCAGGGATAGGGCCCAGGCCCAGAGTTGAAGCCCTATGACCAGCCAAAACAAAAATAAAAAAGAGCTTAGGGACAGCACCCAAGCCCCAAGTTCAAGCCCTACAACTGATGAAAGGCAGGGGAGGGGGAGATGAAGAGAGGGAGGGAAGGAGGAAAAGAAAAAGAAAACAGCCCAAGTATATTCAGGGTACTTTCCTTGCTACCTGTGCAGCCTGAGATATCCCTGCACGTTCTTGGGATAGATAAGAGGCTTTCCTTTTTTCATTTTCTCATAGGTGGCATTGAGTGATAGTACTGCTAGGTGGCCAGGTTTGCCTGGGATCCTCCTGCCTCAGCCTCCTAAGTGCTGAGATGACAGATGTGCACTACCAGATCTGGCTACAGGGGTCCTTTGAAACAGCTGGCCTGCCCAGGGAACACCCTCCAGGGCCACCACATCCAGGGACACATGAATAATTCTTGAAGTCACTATCCCCTTACTGTCCCCATTTGTAACCTGGGACTCATGATCCTGCTGGCTCAGTCTCCCAGCTGTTGGGATTTCAAGCATAGACAACCATACCTTGTTCTTTAATGAGTTTTGGAGGAGCTTGGTTTTCTGAGAAGGTGGATGGCCTTTATTTATTTTTATTTTATTTTTTTGTCAGTCATGGGCTTGAATTTAGGGCCTGGGTATTGTCCCTGAGCTTTTTTGCTCAAGGCTAGCACCCTACCATTTTGAGCCACTGTTCCACTTCTGGTTTCTAATGGTTCATCAGAGATAAGAGTCTCATGGACTTTCCTGCCTGGGCTGGCTTTGAATCTCAATCCTCAGATCTCAACCTCCTGAGTAGTAGGATTATAGGCGTGAGACACCAGCGCCTGACTCTGGATGGTCTTTATGTATATCTAGGTATCCAGCATGCATCCCCAACAGAACAGCAAAGAAAATGTCCCATGGGGCTGGGAAGGTGGCTCAGTGGTAGAGTGCTTGCCTTGCATGCCTGAGGCCCTGGGTTCAATTCCTCAGCACCACATAAGAAAAAAGAAAAAAGCCGGAAGTGGTGCTGTGGCTCAAGTGGTAGAGCACTAGCCTTGAGCTGAAGAGCTGAGGGACAGCGCCCAGGCCGAGTTCAGGCCCCACGACCGGACCCAAAAAAAAAAAAAAGATTTAAGTCTGTCACAGTACCTTTAGCACTCAAAGTCCTTGGAGGGCTGGGGGCATGGCTCAGGTGGTCCAGGCTTGACTCAAGCAGTAAAGCACCTGACTAGCAAGCCAAGGTCATGAGTTCAAAACCTGAGTTTGTTTGTCATGAGTTTGTAGTGACTATGACTAAAGCAGACTCCACTTCCCTTGGGTCAGAGCCTGGTTCCCAGGAACAATATGTCGCCAGGCCAGGCGGCTGGGCAGAGGCAGCATTTCAGGATTTGTTGCATATTTGTACTTTTAGCTCATAATTGCCAGGGTGGAGTTTCAGGTGCTATACAGATTGGCAGGAAGTGCCTGCCCCAGACCCTGTGGACTTCCACTTGGGAACCTTTTGTTCTTATGCATAGGCTTTTGTAGATGAGTGACATCTTCATCATCCTCACCCACTACTATACTAATAATCTCTCTGTTAGCCATTCATTTGCAGTCACTGGAAAAAAATGTCATTTCCCCACCCTGCACCTTAGGAAGGAAGGAATAGAGACAGGTGTGGTGGTACACACCTGTAATCTCAGCATCCAGGAGGCTGAGCAGGTGGATCAAGTGTTTGAAGCCAGTCTAGTCTACCTAGTAAGACCCTGTCTTCAAAAACAAATGGCTAGCTGAGCACTGGTGTGGCTCATACTTATAATCATGCCTAGGAAGTTGAGATCTGAGGATCACGATTTGAAGCTAGCCTGGGCAGGTAAGTCCAAGAGACTCTTATCTCCAGTAAATTACTCAGAAAAAGCCAGAAGTGGCACTGTGGCTCAAGTGGTGGAGAATTCACCCTGAACCGAAGGAGGCTTGAAGACAGCGCCCAGGTCTTGAGTTAAAGTCCCAGGACTGGCACTAAAAACAAAAAAAATTACAAATCTGGGCACCCGCAGTGGCTCATGCCTGTAATCCTAGCTACTCAAGAGGCTGGGATCTGAGGATCGCAGTTCAAAGCCAGCCTGGGCAAGAAACTCCGTGAAACTCTTATCTCCAGTAAACCACTCAGAAAACTGGAAGGGGTGCTGTGGCTCAAGTGGTAGAGCGCTAGCTTTGAGCTGAAGAACAGAGAGACAGTGCCCAGACCCAGAGTTCAAGTCCCACAACCAACCAAAAAAAAAAAAGCCAGGTGCTGGTGGCTCATATCTGTAATCCTAGCTAGTCGGGAGGCTGAGATATGAGGATCATGATTCAAAGCCAACCCAGTAAGGAAAGTCCATGAGACTCTTATCTCCAATAAACTACTCAGAAAAAGTCAGAAGTGGCACTATGGCTCAAGTGCCACGAGCCTTGAACACAAAGAGGTTCAGGGACAGCCCTGGTCCCGAGTTCAAGCCCCAGGATTAGGAAAAACAACAACAAACAAACAGAAACAGGCTGGCTGGGCACTGGTGGTATATACCTATAACCATAGCTACTCAGGAAGATAGGAAGGTGGCAGTTTGAGGCTAGTCTGGGCAAAAACGTTTAACCACGTATTTTGGTGTGGTGATACTCGTCACCAAATCAGAACAGAATAAGCTGAGGTGTGGCTCAAGCTATAGAATGTCAGCCTAGCAAATGCAGGGCCCTAAGTTTAAATCCTAGTTCTGCCCCGCCCCCCCAAAAAAATCAGAATGGGAGCAGCTGATGGTAGAAATGTGTTGGATTAAAAAATAAAAGTTAAAAATTTTTAATGAAATGCTTAAAAGTAAAAAAAAAAAAGAAAGAAAGAAAGAAAAGAAATGTGTTGGAGCAGAATAAGTAGCTCGGTGGGCACCTGCCTCTTGTTCCCCTGGTCTTGGTGGCATCCTGACAATCAATGTCATAGTAATTATCCCTGTGCTTGGCTGTGGGGGGGGAGTCCCCCAAAGCAGGCCAGGCTCACAGCTCCTGTTCACAAGAGCACAGATGATTTACAGCCAGCACACACTACTCTTCTCTCTGTGCCCCCTGCCAGGAGCAAGGAAGATTTCTTTCATTTTATTTATTTTTTTTTATTTTATGATTTTTTTATCAAAGGAGGGAGGAAAAAAAAAACACCTGTGTGCCATTTCCACCCTAGACGGTCACAGTGGGGACCAATGATTTCCCTGCGCTCCAACCCCACAGCTCCAGCCAATACCGCAAAGGAAGGCTGTGGCTTCTTCCAGAAGGATCCCAGAGGCATTAAAAGCCAATAAGTGGGGTGCAGTGCAGCCTGGCAGAACGGGCACAGGGTCCTGGAGCCCCCAAAGCGCCCCAACATGGGCAGCGCACACTCCAAGGGTGGTGATCGGCCCGGGGCGCTGCCCGGACCCCCCGAGCTGTCATTTTACAGCTCTTTTTCCAGGAAATGGAACGACAATGTTTTCTTGGATAACGAGCTGCTGACCTCCAAGATCCTGTCGGTGCTGCGGCCAGGGGCTGAGCGCAGCCTCCGGCCCGGCCCCCTGCGCTACCCGGCCCACTTCCTCAGCTCCAACTCTCTGCTTGCTTCTGTCACAGCATCGCTGAAGGAGCAGCCTCCGCGGGCCACCCTCCTGTCCCATGGCAGCCCGGTCCCCGCCAGGAATGTCGGCATGACGGTCGCTCAGAAAGGGGGACCCCAGACAACATCAAGCCCAGCCGGAACTGGGGTACGATTCGGGTAAGCCAGAGGTTTCCCCCACCATCACCACCACCCCGACAGCCATGCTTGGAAAAGTGGGTAACACTGTTACCTACCTTTCCACATGGAGACTCCTCCCTTCTCTTCTCTTTCTCTCTCTGTCTCCCCAGGACTTGGGTCTAAGGGGGTGGGGGTGGACTCCCCATTCCTGGGTAATTCCTATTAACACTTGCTGTGCCCTGTCTGTGCTCTTAGATCTTTAGAAAACCAGGGGTTCCCAGAGTACTAGGTTACACTGGGAGAGCTGGGAGGAGGATGTTGGGGTCCAGCACCCTGGTTTCTGTTACTCCCTGGCTTTCCCCCGGGGTTCCCTGAGTTCAGCATCACCATGGCTTGGATCATTCATCACTTCTGGATACTTCCTGGATGTTGAGAAAGCCGCTGAATATTTTTCTCTGTGAAATTCTCTCCTCCCACCCTTCCCTTGATGAAGCTGTGCCCTCACCCCAGATTGTGTACAAAAAATTCCATGCACCCCAGTATCCACTGAACACCAAAATTAGTCCTAATGGAAGATGTCCCTGTGTTATAGAGTCCCTTAGGTTTATTTTTTTAATTTTAATTTTTTAGGCTTGTTTGTTTCCATACTGGAGATGGTACCGAGGGCCTTCTACACCTGCTCAAGCAAGTGTTCTCCCACTAAGCAGCAACCCCAGCCCAATCATCTCCTAGTTTATTTTATCTTATTTAATTTTGGTGCCAGTACTGGGGCTTGAACTCAGGGCCTAGGTGCTGTCCTTGAGCTCTTTTGCTGAAGGTTAGGACTTTATCACTTGGAGCCACAGCTCGACTTCTGGTTTTCTGGTTGTTAATCAGAGATAAGAGTCTGGGGGCTGGCTTTGAACCATGATCCCCAGATCTCAACCTCCTGAGTAGGATTACAGGCATGAGCCACCAGTGCCTGGCTGGTCTCCTAAAAGTGATCTATAACAAAGTTAAGACTGCTACTGTAATCCAGAAAGTTCTCTGATCATATCTAATCAGATGGAGTCATACCTGATTTGCTTTCATACATAAAGTTGTGTGTGTGTGTGTTTATTTTTCACTTACCTGAGCTTGAACTCAGGACCTGGGGCACTATATCTTAACTTTTTTGCTCAAGGCTGACACTCTACTACTTGAGCCACACTCTACTTTTGGATTTTTACTAGTTGATTAAAGGTAAGAGTCTCAGATTTGTCTGTCCAGGCTGGCCTTGAACCGAGAACCTCAGATCTTAGCCTCCTGAGCAGCTAGGATCACAGATATGAGCCACCAGCACCTGGCCATTTGTGTGTGTGTGTGTGTGTGTGTGTGTTACATCCTTTGACTTATTGCTGTTGATCATTTCCACTTAGACCAGCCACAGGAGAGATGGATGAAGCTGACTCTGTGTTCCTAAAACTGAAGCAGGCAGCCGACGACTCTCTGTCACTTACACCCTCCAATGCAGACTCAGTTTTCCTGGAAGGTATGCTCAGCTATCTCCTAGGAATGCTCCCAGACCCAGTGCATGCTGGGAAGCTCCAGACCCACTTCAATGGGTACACAGGGGAAACCTAGGGTTGAAACTCGGGGTGGCCAGCTAGGTTCCAGGCCCTCACCAGCATCTCCGGTCCTTCCCCTAGATCCCTACACTGCCTCACTGAGGAGCGAGATAGAAGCTGATGCCCACGAGTTCGAGGCTGAGTCCTGGAGCCTGGCAGTAGACTTGGCATATGCCAAAAAACAAAAGAAAGAGGTGGTGAAGAGGCAAGATGTCCTTTATGGTAAGGTGCCTCCATGAGGCTCTGCCTGTGTCTTCTCTTGCCTATTTTATTTCCCTAATTTAATGACTAACCTCCCTTGAAACCCTGTCACCTTTGTCCTCTGCCTCTCCAACCCCAGGGTAGTCCAGCATCCTAGATGTAGTTAGGGAAGGACTCCATTAGCACCAGGCCCTGAGGACAAGCCTGGCCTGGTGCCCAGGTTCGACTCTCTCTCACCTGAGTGGTGGTTGCCTCTTGGATTTGAGTTTCTCCCAATCAATCCTATCCACAGGGTAGCCCAAAACAACAAACATTTATTGCTGCTCAGTAGGTTCTAGAAACTGGGGTGTCCTAGATCAACAGGCCTACTGATGGCAGCCTCTTCTTCCTGTGTCCCCACAATGGGGAAAAATGGTAGAGATATCTGGGGTCTCTTTTTTGGTGCCAGTCTTGGGACTTGAGCTCAGGGCCTAGGCACTGTCCCTGAGGTTTTCTTTTTTTGGTCGGTCATGGGGCTTGAACTCTGGGCCTGGGCGCTGTCCCTCAGCTCTTCAGTTCAAGGCGAGCACTCTACCACTTGAGCTACAGCGCCACTTCCGGTTTTCTGGTGGTTTATTGGAGATAGGAGTCTCACGGTCTCTCCTGCCCG